TGAACCCCTTCCACATATTAGAGGGAAAGAGTTGAATGTGCTTTCCTAAGGTGATATACAACACAGAAAAAAAGTATACACGTCTTTCCTTCCAGTTCTTTAAACTTTGTTTCAGGTAAGCCCTTTGAGGGAAATAATTTTGCTCTTATCATTCTTAAATTATAGCTCTTGTAGAGCAAGACCTTCTTCTTGTGCTTGTGTAGGGCATGATGTGGTGAAATCCTGTAGCCCTGGCTAGAATACTATAGATTCTATGACAGTGCTCGTCCTCCTAACATCATCAAAAGATTGCCAGTTTGGGGGACTATGTTGGAAGCTGTTGAAACTGGTGCTTCAAGGCATCCGGGAGACATTGATGTGGAAACAGAAGAATGTGTGCTGACTCGATAAGGTTTTCTAAGAAGGTTTTTCTGCCTCTTGATTCAGTGGCTGGAATAATGCCCACTCCGGAAAGTAAGGATAAAACTGAAGCTTTTCCAAATGTTTTCTTAGTAGCTGGCACACACTTTAGAAAGAGTTTTAAACTTAATTAAATTAACCAGTTAACCCTTTTCCTTAATTATGTGCTTTGGAGAATTTAGAAGAAAAATTACTCAAAGCAGAATGTTAAAATGAACATCAGACAAATCCCTCCCCAAACAGGAAACCATGTGAGCACCCTGGTGTACACCTACTCACTCCCATTCCAGAACAACACAGAGACTATGTGCTGTCTGCCGTGAAAACACCGAGGACATTTTGTTCAGCTGCCTGGGGTTTGAGCACAATGATACTTTCTAAAGCAGAAGTATTCACCTGGGACATCTTTGCACATAAGAGCAGGCATTCATTTAGGCCACTGTAGTTACAGTTGCAAAACAGTTTCCACTATTACCTTCTGCTTTCCCGTGCTCATAGCTTTCCAAAGCAAGAGAAATTTGGACTGATTTTTGCTATGATGAATGCTTTCTGGACCAGAGTTTTTCTTAGGAAAGACAACAAAATTAGACAACATAGTTTCATAAAGAAAAAAAAAAATCCATGATGGAACAAGGTTTGCCTTGTTCTCACTTCTCTAGTCAATACGTCATTAAAGCTATGCAGTAAAAATCATGGGATGTCAGATAACAATAATTCCAAGAATCACATTGGACATTCACAATTTTCTTTTTCTGTTCTGGTTATGAGTATCATTTTGCTATTTATCTAGAAACCTTTTTTTTTTCTTTGTGTCTCCAGAATGCTGTACTTTATTATACTTAAATGATGTATTTATTATATTTATTACACTTAGAAGTAATTTCTTTAATACTGAAGATTAATATGAGAAGAAGTTATTTAATGAATGTGTCACTAACACCCTAGTCCTGATTAGATCACTCTTTTATTGCTTACTATTCTTGTGCTACATTTCTGTCCTCTGTAATTGCAAGGGGTTGACCTTGAATGGTGGTCAGACACCCACTCATCCACTCTCTTATTTCCTTCTGCACCAGGACAAGAGGAGAGAATAGGATGAAAAGCATGTGGGACAAAGCAAGGACAGGAAGACCAGTTGGCAGATATCATCATGGACAAAATGAAATTAACCTGGGGAAAATTAATTTTATTTGGTCCAGATTAAAATAGGTTTGGATAATCAAAATAAAAGCAAAGTGAAACATTTTCTTCCCACCTCACCATGTTTTCTCAAGCTTGCTTCTTCACTGTTGACTTCTCTTAGAGGAGAAGCTAAATCACTTCTTGTCTCCTCTCTTCTTGTGTCTTGTCAACTGTAGACAATGCAAAAGAGAGAAGGATCCTAATTCATGACTATCTATTCAGCAAAATGCTCTCTAGCCTCACTAGGTTTTATTTCAGCCATGTTTACCATAACAAAGATATCCTTTGCAGTCTTTTCTGCTGGATAATAAGTTCTTCCTCATACATCTACATTTATTTCAAACTAAGAAATGAAGAATGATCTAATCTTTCAGCTACAGATGACAGAAAATCAAAAGCTGAATTTTAGCTACAAAGAAGGCTGATACCAAAGCTCAGCATTTTGGATATGACATGTGAATCATATTTCATATTCTAATGCTTAAGATAGTCACTAAGAACTTTCTTACTAATATTTTCTATTCTGCATTATTTTAAAATAAATTAATTTTGATTTTTCTTTAAAATTATTCATTAAAATGTTGCATATGATTATCCTGAATTATTCTATTATTTATTTGAATTTTTCTCATTCATTGATATTTCTTAATTAGAAGGGTTATTTTATTCCCTTAGTAGATGTTTCAAGATGTGAAATTTATTTCCCATTTCATCCAAAATTTTTCTTATTAACTATATAATTGATTCTAATTTCAGTGTCTCAGCATCTGTTTTTTCTGACAATTTGCTTAAAAAGCTTTGCAATATACAAAATTTTTTAGAAATAAATATAAATTTAGATGAGTAAATAAATGGAACAGTGATTGAGGATTTTCTCAGCTGTAGTTAAATACTGTGGCAATAAACATTGTGTAAAAAATCTAGTCATTATTCCCTTGAATAAACAGAAACACCTGTTCTTATAAGCAAAGAAAATCAAGCTATTTTTAGTAGTTTCATTTATTTATCCTTTACTACTGGACGGTGCCACTTCTATACTTTTTAAAAGGGTTTCCATTTATTTTCAAGTTTCATATAAACTGTGTCTAGGAATGCTTTTTTTGATGCTTCAGGTGTTTTTTCCAAAGATATAACAAATAAACAGAAGATGAATTATTAAAGAAAGAAAATAAACAAACCAAACAAATTTAAGAAAAAACCAAACCTCAACAGTTATTTGGGAGAATTTTTATTTTTGAGTTGTACACACTATGGGTACTATGCCAAAATTCACCATCTTATTTACTCAAAGTTAAGGTGACATCCCAGTGAAAGTTGTAATATGTGACTTGTTTTGTGGGCCTTAGATTCATACAATGATCATGAATAGATTATTAAAAATGTCTCTTTAAAAAGAGGTTTTTCTGTAGCCTTTTTCTGTGGCCACAAAAATAAAACTGCATAATTTCTCTTTTCTAGACATAAGAACATACATGTAAAACTTCACATTTTGGTGAAACAAGATGGCAGAAAAAGTAGCAAAGAGCTACCAACACCCCATATTTGCAGTGAATATTATCTTGGTAGGTTTAAACTCCTCTTTTTTCCTGGTGCTGAAACAGGGACCTGCCCCACAGCACCACTTTTGTCTGAGATAGGGAGGGACTTAAACTGTGAAGTAAGCCGAAGATGAACAAGGTGGAACAACATGGTCCACATGCCCATGAAAGTACACCCAAGCCACAGAAAAATGTAAGTTGGCAAGGACCTCTGGAAGTTGTCTGGTCTAACTTTGAAAGGCAGAAGGGCTAACATCAAAATTAAACCAGATTGTGCGGGGCATTGTCCAACCAGTTTCGTCAGCTTCTCATTGTGTGCCATATTCTGTGCCTCTGACTCTCTTGGTTAACCTCTGCTGTGCTCTTCTCAGTTTATCCATGCCTCTCTTCTACTAATACAATGATTTAAGAAGGTATCAAGTAACATGCCCTACACAGCATACATAATCCTCCCTATTTCAAAAACATATGCATAGCTTTTTGCTTTTCAGTTATTCTTCATGCACTGCTCTCTCTATGTAAGCAATTCTGGCTGAAAGTAATCATTATGTAAAATTACCTTTCATATTTCATATGAGCAGATGTAAGTGTTTACTTTGTGCCCTGCATTTTGTGCCCTTTAGGTGTTACATAATTTGACACTCACACAGATGCAAATGTTAAGTTTTTACAGACAAGCTCTTGGTGGGAAGCTAGGTCAGGATGACAAAATGTATCCCCCAGTAAATGGTAAACAGTTTCAACAGCAGCAGTGCTTGCTGTTCTTGTAGGTGGATTAGTGTTCAAAGTGTCTATGTACAATGCACTTGGGCAGTTTTTTTTAAGATTTTGTTATTCACACTTCTGAAACTCCTCATAAATGCTTTTTTTTTTGCTGTTTTGGCTGGGATAGAGTTAATTTTCTTCATAGTAGCTAGTATGGGGCTGTATTTTGGATTTGTGCAGGAAACAGGAGTGATAACACTGGGATATTTTTGCTGTTGCTGAACAGAGCTTACATAGACCCAATGCCTTTTCTGCCTCTTATATTGCCCCACCAGTGAATAGTCTGGGGATGTGCAAGAATTTGAGAGGGGACACAGCCAGGACAGCTGATCCCAGCTGACTCAAGGGATATTCCAGACCATATGGCATCTCTTTCAGTATATAAAGCTGAGGGAAGAAGGGAGGAGGGAGTTCAGAGTGATGGTGTTTTTCTTCCCAAGTAACTGTTACACGTGATAGAGCCCTGCTTTCCTGGAGATGGCTGAACACCTGCCAGCTCACGGGAAGTGGTGAATTAAGTCCTTGTTTTTGTTTATCTACCAAACTATCTTTATCTCAACCCTCAAGTTCTCTCATACTTTACTCTTCTGATTCTCTCCCACATCCTGCACAAGGATAGCGAGCAAATGGCTGTTTGATACTTCATTGCTGCCTGGAGTCAAAGCATGCCATCTATATAGCCAATGCCTTAGTGCCATTTATCAGGCACAGGATAACACCATTTCTCATCTCGGATTCCTCTGGGACACTCACGGAGTCTGATACAGGTTTTTGCGCTGAGCTGAATTATCTCTCTGCTACACATCCCCAAACCAGCTTTTAAACAAATCTTTCTTATACACCAATAGATGACAAATATCCGTGAAGACTTGCTAAAGAACCTAAAAGATCCAAGTCAAAGCGTGGCAGTAACAACGCGTTTCCACTGCGCTGTGTTCAGGCTCAAACCTCAGCAGTGGGTTGAAGGGCAGGGATTGAATCCGCCGGGCTGTCAGAGGGTGGCAATGTAAGAACACAGAATGAGCCCAGGGCCAATTAGCGGTGGCTGCTCCCGGCCGGGAGCAGCGGCTTTCCCGACATTGCCACATCCATCCCTTTGTTCGCCGCCGTCACACGCGGCTAAAGCAGGCAGGGCGGTCCCAGGGAAACACCGCGCTTCATGTGCGGCTGCCGCGGGTGCAGAAACCCTTCCAGACAGACGGACACCTCCTCTTAGTTACAGTTCAGCCGTGCCTTGGGCAAGTCTGAATTCCCTCCGGACACGCCTGAGGAAATGGAGCAGCAGTCCCGTGACGCGCCGGGAGCGCTGGGCTGCATCCCGCTCTTTATTCTCAGAGCCTGCCAGCTCTGTAGGAGCTCCTTTATGGCTCCGCGGGGAGGTGCAGGGCTTGCAGATAGATGTCTATTATAACAAAACAAGGCAGAAACTGTCCAAGATTGCTGGTGACTCCTTTTAATGTCACTCTTTCTTCCTCTGCTCATAACTAAAAACTCTCTCTCCTCTAACTACCTGTGCAGTCCCGGTGCTCCCAGCCTCCAGGTGTTCCCAGGTGTTCCTCCTGACCCTCACGCTAACTGGGCCTAGGTACCTTCTTACTTGTTTTCAACAAAATATTCCCGTGGTGTGTAGCGTGACAATTCAGGTGACAAGGACTGAAATACTCTGCTTTGTGCTAATTTGGCTGGAAGGATTAAACTACATCTTATTATACCATGACAAGGAATACCTAGGAAAATAAGTGTTTCCTGTTGCCCATTATTGCAGGTGTGCAAGATATTAACAATGTACAGGCTGGACGGTCAAAACTGCCATTGCCCCCAGTAAATATTTGCTAGATTTTCCTTTCAAAGTAAAAATTATCTTTCCTTGTCCTGACTTCCGCTGGTAGGGTTTGTATCAGTAGATGCTGCTGAAGTACTGGGGTCACTGAGGGGAACATCTGCAAGGAGCACCTGTAGGGCTGAAATAGGTTTTCTGTCAGATCCCTGTATCCTGGTGCAGAGGGAGGATGCTCTTTCACAGACTAAAGAGAAATGTTCACTTATGTTTTTGGAGTACCTTTAATTGTGTAAAAATATTTGTTTCAGACCTGTAGCATTATGACTGTTATTCTTCTCCCGCTAGGGCTGGAGTTCAGCATCTAGTGAGATGAGTCATTATTAATTTTAGTACCTCTTTTGGAAGGTAAGAAACATTTTATCGACAAAGTGCTACAGGACCTTATTTTGAACAAGTTTTGTCCTTTCTGCACTTACAGAAGAGCTTGCAAGAGGAATGGGTGTAGTCCCACTTTGACCATAGCACCTTATATTTTGTTTTTGAATAGTATTTGTTGGACAAAAAAGATACAATGTAAAGGGAATTTTTCACAAAATCTTTCAATAAATTCATGTATTAAAATGTATTCCTTCCTCAGTCATTTTACTGTCATCATTCCACGTGGCATATCTTATTTGTAGGGTGAGATCTCTCTTGGAACAGTGACTCATCTTTTCCTTATAAAGCACCATGCACGCAGAACAGTATTAATAAAGGAATAATGATGGAATCTGCTCATCTCTTAGACACTGGGTCAGAGATGACTGATTCTGTGTCAGATGCCAATAAGGTTGACATCTAGTTTGTGTTGTATCTTGGATAAAGCTGGGGATTGATAATACAAGGACTATAAAGTACAGAGGCCCGTGGATGCAGACTCAAAGCAATTGGGTCTTAAAATAGAAACCAGGGATCAAAACCCTAAAGAAGATGCACCATCAATGCAAGCAGTTTGCATTATATTCAGCTGAGATTCTCAATATCACTGGCAATCATGGCCTAAAACTGGTAGATCTCATGACATAATGCAATAGTGCTATTCCACTGAATAAGGAGAGCACGTAAAAACAGTTATCTGTCCAAGAAATTAATTTCACTACTGAATGTGTAAATTCATTTCTTTGCTACTGAGAGATCATTCTACATAAATAGTTAACCTTGGATAAAATGTGGTAAGTTTGCAATTCTTATTTCCTGAAACTTCTGCTGATTATCTGAAGCATGAAGTTATAATTTTATTGAGAAGGGTGTGGCAAAGACACAGTCTGGTGCTTCTCAACAATAAGACAGAGTTTGAATACTCACTGTAAGCTGCTTAAACCAGTCTCTGCCTACTCTTATATATACATTGCTACAGTATGGTGCTATTGGCGTAGTATGTCAGTACTTAATGTTTGAAGCAATAAATACAGAGTGCTTTTAAATAATTGATATGAACAGATTCCAGACAAACTAGTTCATAAATTTTCAGTCTTGAACAATGTAATCCTTAGCAGATGCTCATGATTAGGGACATAGGTATTTTAAAAATGTAATAAAATGCTTATATTCATTCTCAGATCTATCATATTAACATAATTATCTGCTTTAGTTTGGGATGATCCTGAAAAACTTCATCACTTCTTTAGTTAGTATCAGATATTTATAGCTTAAGCAAAATAGAAAATGACAGAAGAGTGGACAAGCTGTTTATATTGGCTAAAGAAATAATTATCAGATTATTCATGGCACTGTAAAGAGTAGGAATGATAAGCCCAGCCGTTGTAATGTGATTAGCTAATGTTAGTTAAGCATTGCGGAGACAGAAAGAACTCTACAAAGGTTAAGCATTATTATTATCACTGTTAATTCAGAGTGATGGAAAGCACAGTGAAACCACTTACCACGTGCCATGTAAAGCTTGCAGAAATCGAAATTTAGAGCTGAGGGATGGAATAAAGAGCATTACCAGCTGGTGAGCTCTTTCTCTTTGTTCCTGGCTGAGGTCTGAGTAGCTGGTCATTTGAAAAGATACCTCATAGACAGGGACAAAGACACAGAATCCATCACAGTAGGAGGGACCAATGTGGGTCAAACTGTGTGCCAGACTGACTCCCTCCAGCTGCCCTGTGGGCTGTCAAGTGCTGTATAAGGAGCAGCAACCCTGATAGCTTCAGGTTGCTACTCACAGCACTCCTTGGTCCTGGTAGGCCTTTGGACATAATCCATATTGGCATAACCATCCTAGAAACACTAACTTTCTTTGGCTTCAGTCTTGTATTTCTGAGCAATTCTGCATTTATGTCATAGATTATTGCCTTAGGCAAGATTTCTTCTATGTTTTGCATAAAACAAAGGTGCTTCATTGGGATGGTAGTTCCACCATTTTTTAAATGTAGAACTAGTTGAAAATAAGCATTTTTTTAATCCTAAAGGAAATTCTGGTGTTCTAAAAGCAATACTGTTTTACCTTGGAAACTGAAAAAGCCAACAAACTGGTGCTATACTAAGTACTAATTCTAATATTAATATAACTAATTAATCACTTCACATTATTGATATATTTTTCTGTTCAGATTTAAAGATATAATTGAAATGAATTTGACATTAATGACTGAAGGAAGAATGCATACTTTGATAGAAATTAATTCTGTCAAGTATTTAATCTTGTTCTTTCATGCTAAATGTCTCTCTTAAGAACAGCATTAGACAAAGGTCCAGTCTTTCAGAAAAATCTAGTAAGAAATCAATGCTGATGAATGAAGACACAGTTAGAAATCCGAGATAACCTTAAAACATCAGTGCAAGTTCAAATGAAAATGCTTCTTGACAAGTTTCTATTAAACTGGTAAACTTCTATATTTCAATGTTTCTGGAATGTGTTTTCAAAGAACCTGAAGGTGCCTGGTCCAGCTGGGATGGGAAGCTACCTTCTCTCTTCAGACTTATTGCAATATCTGTGCTAAAGTGCATATCTATAGTGTTTTGCAGATTCACTAACTAGAGAAATTGGCCATCCCAAAGTATCATGAATCTGACATACCAGGGAGGAGAAGCAAACAGATGAAGTCACAGAGAGAGGAGAAAGCATTAAAAAGAGGACTGTTGGAAATCTGATTTACCGTGTGATATTTGGAGCCTGTTCTGTCTATTGGTGAGTCTTACCACTGACATCAGACTTTCTGGTTCATTGAGAGATGACATTCAGAATAACAGTATTCTAATGGCTCTTAAAAAATCTCTGAGAGAAAATCTGAAGTGATTCAGAGGATGATTCATTTATATTGATAGCAAAACATTAGCAGTAGCTAAACATGACAGATACAGTGTGTATAGAGACAGCCAAGCCAATTCTAAATTGGAGTTTTGAGCATGCATTTGTGATTTAGTCATCTAAATAACAGGATAACAGGCTGTGAGCTGTGAGAAACCACCCTTAAATAAAGGGCATTGCACTATCTGCACTGTGCATATTCCCAGAGGTACAAAATGTTTGTCCCCTTAAAATTAACTGTTGTCAGTTTTGGGGTGTGATTCAGACTAATATTTAAAGTATTATCTCTGTCATTGTTTTCCAGCTAATTTGTATTATGAGAAATAAATTTAATTTAACTTAAGCTTCCTCTATGTTACAGAATTTGGCGTGCATGCTTCTGCTGATTCATCACCTGTGATAAGAAAATTGAGCTGCAGGAGCACCACTGGTCAAAGAGTCTGTACCAGCACAATGTGTCCTCACAATTTGCACTTTTCCTGGTAAAAGACCATGTAGGTCTTTTGTCACTTTCTGATGCAATGCACTACGGGATGTGAAGTAATGTATCACCACGAAAGCAGGTCACACCACAGGCACAGTGGGTACAGTTTTCAGTTTTTCTCTGTGGCAAAAATGAGGAATTTAGAACATAAAACGTGGGGGAAATTATGAGAATTGGACAATGTCCTTCCCAGTGTGTCATTCTGACACATTCTGTTCTCTTATGCTTGTCACATCTGTGGGCCCAAGTGTCCCAGTCTGTGGTGGTACCTGTGTCAATGAACATGCCCTCTAGCTTGGATTTCAAAGAGCTGCCCAGTAAAAGAATATCCATCCTGGTGGTGAAACCATTTTTAGTTATGCTCTGGCCTGCTGAAATAATGAAACTTATGGAGGAGGAATCACTTTGCAAGGAAGAGAAAGGGTCCTGCAACAAAGATCTAAAACTTGAAGTAATTTGTGAAGCTGTTAATTTACCACCTGAACTTTATTAACTGATTTGGCTCATCTGAAGAAATTTCCCTGTATTTGTAGATCTAAAGCAAACAATGGAAGCTGCAAAATCTTCCCATATGAAGGGCAATTTTTCCAAGTACAGATAAGAAGAATGCTGCCAGTGAGCCACCAGGAAAATTCCAATCAGACTCTGACTTTTGACAGTGGTTGAAGGGGTGGTTGTGTAGGAGGAAAGCAGGAGAACAGCAGGATCCTAAGTGACAGTGGGATAGTGGGAGGTGGAAGAATTGTCCACCTGCTTTGGAAATTCAACATTGGACCACAACGAAGTTTACTGTGATGTTGGATAATGGTGGAGTGCATTTCCAGTAAAGTATCAAGAACACATTATTCCTGGTGTGTTGGGATGCCTGAGTTAAGTTTCTTGCATATTTAAATAGATGTGACCACTTTGGTAGCTCTCCTGGAAGCCATTTATTTCTTAATTAGAAATTCTATAAAAGTGTTCAAGAGTACTATGAATCTTGAGAGTCTAGACAAATAAAACAATTATATGAAATGAAAGAGGCCAAACTGAGTTATTAAAACACAGTATCTAAATTGTTGTAAAGATATAGACAGGCCATTCATTGATCATATGTCACCTTTTCTTTACAGGAGCATCCATCTTTCCCAAGGTGCAAATAGATCTTTGCATTTTCACTTCCACTAAGAGCTTTACAAGGCCACCCTCAAAGGGAACAAGAGAGACAATCACTGGGAGCACATATTTCTGATTTAACTTGTATTTTTTATTAATACTAAGTTGCTATTGAAAAATGAGGTGAAGACCAGTCTGCTTATAAGAGGAACTTACTAATGAACATCTGGCATGGCATGTTAAACAAGCCTGCTTCTTCATTACAATGTAGAGGGGAGCTTGGGGAGGCACTCAGGACCCTCAAAAGGAAAGACTACATGTATACTAATAAAATGATAAATTCTGATGTTCTTAGACTCTGCAGCCAGAGCAAACAGAATATATAGCAATATATAACATTCTTAAAATAAAAATCTCCATCCAAACCACCCGCTGGAAAGGCCACTCCCATGCCAGGAGAGCCTACTGTTTGGTAGAGGGACCCATCGCAGGGACCATACTTGTAGTTTAGCAAGATGCAGAAGAACAAATTCCCATGCTTGGAACCTCTCTTTAAACTGTGTACTCAGCTAGAGATATACTATCAAAGTGTGCAGAAACCTCTGAAGGCTGTTTCCACTGCTATTTTCTTGGTGTAGCTATGGCAGGATGTCCAAACACTTGTTCTTTGTTGTTCTATAAGAAGGGGTCAAGGAGCCCTTGTCACATGAAGTTTTTTTCTGAATCCTTTTCTCTTCTGTGGTCTTTCTTTCTCTTTGTTGTATTGTGCTCTCAGCAAAAAGAACCCCTCTGACACAAAAGACGGCTTCTCTGTTCTTTGGTTTAGGGATTTTCCTATTATGTGTGTACCTCCCCAGGGAAAAACAGGTTTTCCATTGGGCTTTTCCTTTAGTTCAAGCACAGTTTGTCCACTGCTAATGACATTTTTGTTTGTGTGGTAACACTTTCCAAAAGGGTGGGGAGAGGTGTTGGAAAATCTTCTGATGGCTAGCTGTGTATGGAAGTGTTTAACAACACAACAATTTCATAACAAGGATCAGGATTATTTACATTACCTAACAAATTCCCCAAAACACCAGGCTACTCTCACAAGGCCTAATCCTGGCTTAAAGAGCAGCTCTTCACTCTCTGTTCAGCAAAATGTTCTTTCATTGTTTAATTTGAAATTTTCAGCTATCTTGTTAATATTCAGCTATCTTGTATAAAGAAAATAGAAAATTTCAGCTATCTTGTATAAATATGTTCAAGTGGCATTTCACTACAAAATGTTGAGACAATACATCTTGGGTTTGCTTTGTTTTGGTAGCAGGGGTGCTATAGGAGTGTCTTCTGTCAGAAGATTCCAGAAGCTTCCCATTTGTCCAATGGAGCCATGCCAGCCAAAAACAAGACAGACCTGCTGTTGGCCAAAGCTGAGCTGTTCCACTGGAGAGAAAGCAGTGGAGAAATTGGGAATGAATTTGAGCTTAAGAAGGGAAGCACAGAAGAAGATGTTTTAAGATTTATTTTTAATTCTCATTGTATTGCTCTGATTTAATTGTTAATAAATTAAGCTAATTTCCCCAAGTCGAGTTTGTTTTGGCCGTGACAGTCACTGGTGAGGAATCTCTCCCTGTCCTCATTTTGACTCATGAGCCTTTCATTATATTTTCTCTCCTCTGTCCAGCTGAGGAAGGGAGTGTTCACAGTGGTGAACACCTGGTGTCTAGTTAAGGTCAACACACCACACAGGAGCACAAAGAATACTGGCAGAATTGCTTCTACCAGCTAACAGACAGCTTCCAGAAGCATGAAATATTTGTTTTCATTGATATGAAACAAGAAATTTCTTGTGTAAATTGATTCCCACAAGTGAGGGTCTTGATGCGTATACATGATGATGGCAATCAGATAAATAAGCATTTTTATTTAGTACAAACATGATGTTACAGTATTCGAGTAAGAGTATTAATGAACAGGCATGTGTGGTTTTGCAAAAAAAATGTGATGAAAAATCTCAAATGTCCCATTAAACTAACATAAATCTAAATAATCTAATTAAAATATGGGTTTTCATCTTCTGTGGAAAAAAAAAAAAAAAAATGAGCAGCCCAGGTTAGGAATACAAGCAAAAATATAGAATCTGTGTTCTTGTATTGGCAGGGAAGAAATCCCTACCAATATTGAGTGAATTCCACACTGCTCTTCAGCTCTCTTTCCATTTCCTTTATGTGAAGAGTGCCTTTTCAGCATCTGGATCCAGCTCTAATCCTCTGAGGTTCTCTGATCTGGAACCATTGCTGTGCAGCATTACACATGCAGTGAGCTGCCAGTGTGGGGTCTGCAGACTCCGAAGCAAAACATGTGTGGAACTCCTTGTGCTGCTTACACACATTATTTGTTTGACTAACCCATAATATTGAATAAGTTTTCTTTAAACACAGCAGTTCGGTTTAGGCCCAGTGGTTTTTTTTTTTCCTCCTTGAATGATTTATTATTGAAATCAGTGGTTTACATTCAGTTTAAAAACATGCAGTGGAGTAGGTCACAGTCTCTTTTCCACATAGCAGTTTTGCAGACTTTTTTCACTATAAAAGGAAAATAGTCTTACTGATCATTTCCAGGAGGAGGGTGGATAAATGTTTTCCTTCCAGCCCAATCTCCATTTCTTCTGTACAAAGTATGACACAGGGTAAATTATGAAGAGTAGTAAGTGTTTGCCTATCTGGCAGAACAGTCAAAGATTAATGCAAAATAATTTTAAATGATGCTGAGTGTCCTGTAACAATAGACTCAGTACCTCACAATTTTTGGTTGTTTATAAAAAATAAAACCAATCCTATTCAAAAAAACCCTCATAAGGTCAGACTCTTAGCATGCAGATATTAGATTTATATTCTTTAGAGCAAAATCTGTTTCAATTCTAAATCTAGTTGAAATTGACAAAGCACATCATGATATATGTTTTCAGCCTGGAAAGCTGAGGGACAGGTAAAATAATTATACATTATACAAAAGATTTTATAGGATTGAAGATTAAATATATAAAAAGAAATCTGAAAATCCTTACTGATAAGGTAATGGACTACAATGCTCAATATCTACAATTCTTAATTTTTAAGAAATTTTATATTGGTTTGTGCATTTCTGTATTTCTTAATTCCAAAATCTCTCCCAAAGGATTAATATTAAAAACCTTTAAAAAGCAATAATAACATGAATATTAATGTTGAGGCAACACAGGAAAAATATTGCAAAGGTGACAGTTATTAAGATGTTTCACAGATTCATGTCATCTTCAGATCATTTTCTCCAGCACTTCAGAGAAGTAAAACAGAAGCCCAAATGCTGTGACAAATAACAAACAACAGTAAGACGGTCTATGTGTACTTGCAGATCTGTTCTGCAATAGATCATTTACAGGTTTAACTTTGCTCCAATAAAATGGGAAATAAGAAAAATAAACAGGATTCAACATTCTGTGCAAAATTACAGCATTTAGGCACTGGTCTGCATGGGTTTACAGCTTCCCTTGAGAGCCTGTGCAATCCGCCTCCTATGACTTCTTTCTGTACTCAGGCTTTCAAGAGGAAATATTCCTTCCTGCTTCCTCGTGTACTCTGGCCCACAGCTGAGGGTCCCTGCAGTTGCACCAAATAGAGACCCATCAGTAGCAGCTTGTGCAAGGCACTCATTTTTTGATGGATACAAATAGTTTTTTAAAGTTCACTGTTTCCTTGTGGGGACTGAAATATCCCAGAGAACAGATCATACGCTGTTTGTTATAAAGCTTTTAAGGAAAACAGAGGAAGTCTTGAATAGTGGCAAAAATTCAAACAATTTGACTGGAATTCAAGTAACAAAACCTCTGTGCTTTGCTTTGAAATCTTACTGGGAGTGCAGATAAATTCTCATCTACAGTAGACATGAATCTGTGTTAAATATGACTACACTTCTTTTTTTTTTTTTTTTAACTATTATTTCCCTCATTGATATGATGGCAACTTAAGCCAGGAGTTTTCATAGGTTGTGTATCAGTTGGCTCTGTAAATACAATTTTCATTGAGGGGCTAAGAAGGACTCGTACTCCACAGTCAGCATCAGGGTTAGGAAGGGCACACATCTTGTGTGCCCTTTGCCTGTGTGAAAACCTGACTGCCAAGGAATTCTGCCGGGAGAAGAAATTATTGTGTTCATAAAAATGATCAAGACTTGGAAGAGCTCTGAAAGCTGCTGAAAAAAATATGGGTTTATAATCAGTTGTCTTTTAAACTGTGGGTGGCAGCAGTGTCCAGGCAGAGGGAATTTTTGGAAGCCACCCCCAAAGCTTTGACCTCCAGTGAGTGTTTCAGGAAGAGGCAGCATTAATTGCTGCCCCAAGACTGTGAGGCTGAGCTCACAACAGGCAAACACATTACTTTGTAAATGAAGGATTAAGTCAGAAAACCTTGCTAATAACCTACTTCTGAAACTCCATAATCACCATGGTGTGATGGTGAGTAATTTGCTGTGTTTGTAAGCACGGGTTCAGTAGCCCTAATTGACTCAGGTTCCTATTTTGGATGGCTGTGCTGATACTTAGAATCATTCTGTAAGATGCTCTTTAAGTATTGCTCCCTGTGTCATGGCACATATGGCATTCCTGACTTCCACTTCTAGCTTTCTTCATTTGGACAATTTATGGGCTTGTGTAAATCAGTCTCAAATGTAAGTGGGTGCTTGTCCTTTGCTGATTCATACTCCCTCCATTGTAAGCAAAGTTATACCCTCAGACAGTCTTCATTATTCACAGGCTTTGCCTGCCTTGAATTTGAATATGAAGGGAAGAGTGTGGTTTTGCTGGGATTTCCAGCTCCAGCCAATACTTTTATATTTTGTCCGCCTGAAAAACAAGCTGAATATTTTATGAATAAGCAGGTGTACAAAGTGCAGCTTCTGGGGCAGAATCAGCATTCCCACTTGTCCTTCTGGTAAATAACTGCAGAACAACTGGGGAAAGTCGAAATGAGCTGAAAGTGAAGATGTCCCTGATTCACTCACTCCAACACAACAAATGCAAAACCACTTGAAGGTCACCTTTAAAGATTCAAATTCTGTTTAACTGTGCTTTCACATGCTGGTTTCTAATAATGATTAAAACACATTGACAATGACGTTTTTGCAAGGGCACTATGAAAGGACAAGGCAGTATATGAAACAAGTATTTTATAGCGAACACCAAATTCTTGCACTTGTAATGAACGCTGCATGCAATGAATGATCCGCAGAGTATTTTATGCTTTCTACATATAAAATGTAAATAGATCTTTTAAAAGTGTTTGAGGTTTTCAAAACCATTGAGGGGATTTCCCTCATTAGCTTTGGAAACCTCAACAACTGTGTTTGAATCATGTAGTTTAATCCAAAGTCATGCTCCATAACATTTATCCCCAGACTCAGTGGAGCTGGCTGTGACACAGGAGGATAAGATGGTTTAGTCATGGTTTTTCCTTGAATCAACTTCTCTTCTGTACTGGAACTTTGACCTTTTACTTCTAAGACTTGCTGAAATCACCAGACCTCACAGCCTTCTCAGAAGAGCACAAGAATGAATAATAGTGTAGAATCAGCTTAATGAACTTGAGTAACAGCAATAGTTTGCAAAAGCACTGTTACCTAAAAATGAGAAACCTAATGTCAACTGCAAACTTGGTTGTGAAAGTTTCTTTCTTCCTCTGCTGAAAGCAATTAAAGTGAACAGGACAGGGAAAAGGAACAGCCTAAACTGGACTTACTACTCCTTGTGTATGGAGGGCTGGGAGTTTTCAGAAATGTACTATATGACTCATACTCTTCTCACGAAGTGTTCAATGTAAAATGCCCATTGACAGCAGTGGGAACAGTGTGAAATTCTACCCTACAATTTATTGATATGATCTCCCTGCAAAGAATAGAACAAAGACCCAGCTCCCGTGCTAGACAATTCACAGCCCTAATACAACAAACGAAGGGTGAGAGTTGCAAAGGAAAATGATGAGGCAGTGCAAAAAACCTGTAGTAGTAAAATATTAGTGTCCCACTTGTGTCGTAGTCACACATTGTGAGGTTTCCAAGTTTTTTAATTTTCATTTCATTTTACTTGCTTACCTTCATCAATGGATGGATACATCAGTTTTACATCATTATTTTGAGAGGAATTCTAGTTTCTACATAGTGAAATAATTTTAGTTAATATTTGATTAATGGGGAATTCAGCCATGAATTAACAATGCATCTCAAATCCCATATCCCTCCTCTAATCTTATTCTATGAAAGAGTGAATTTCAAACCATTATACTACACTTCATAATTTATCCAGAAAGCCTTGCTAAAGTCTTGCAAAACAGAAGTTAATCACATAATATCTATTAAGAGAGAAGTAATTTAAAGGAAAGAAAATAAAATATTTAAAACTATCAAAGAACACAAAAAAGTTTTAGATACCTTCCTGTTCATATTGAACAGTAGAATTTTAAAGAAGGCACTGGGAAGTATCTATCAGGCACCTTATGTGAAGGTGTGGTAAATATCTTCCCACTTAAGAGTCAGTCAGTGAGCACAAAACACCT